GATTTACCCTTCTTGGTAAATGAGCTAGATTGGTTAGAAACCTTTTTCAGCTTCTCTATCAGTTTTCTCAAAGCCTGAGGGATTCCTGGTTTAACCTTGCAGGAAACTCTCCATCCTCTGCTAAATCCCAAGGTGGCTCCCTTGTCCCGAGTGATCTGAAGCCACAGAGAAATAGCATCTGCTTCCTTGTCCGTAAGATGAAGGGGGCTAGACTGGAATGATCTCAAAGGTTCTTTGTGGTTCTGTTTCTCTAGGAGACTAGGTGGGGTGGGGTTGCAGCAAGATGACCAAAGGCTAACTAACGAAGGGACTTTGGGATGTGAATAATGTTAGCAAAAGGGAAGCTGAGTTGGTGCTACTGAAAACTTCTGTGCCGATGGCTAAATCAGTAACTTGGTCGTGAAGGGAGACTGAATGGAAAGATCTGAACGTGACGAGCTGGCTCCAGGGGGTGGGGATGAGGGGCGGGCAGCGTAAGGGGTAACAGCTTTGGCTGTCTCTCTTGTTTTCCGTCTCCAGTTCTTTCTACCGCACTCCCGAGGAAGCTCCCATGGGCAGAGCCGGATAATCAGAAGGGCATATCCTGAAGACTTCTACACCCAGATGATGGATGAGTGCTACCAGATATGGGCTCAGCTGGAGCATGAGGCTGGGACCCAATTACACAGGTTTGGGTGTGGGTGGGAGAACTCCTTGAATCGTGGGGCCCAGTGCCTGGGGGTGCTTGGAGTCTGTGAGGGGGCACCGCCATCAACACTTGAAATGTGGTGCAGGGACACAGGGCCCAGGGGAGTGCCAGACACGTGGAAGTATTGTGCCCACTGTCATGACGATTGCCCCACAGGGCCAGCTGGCTCCTGCCTCACTCTGAGCTCCAGGACTGGGGTCAGACACGTGTTCGAGGCTGGCAGAGGTTGTACTGGGAAGACTGCTGAAAAGGCACTGGGAGCAGATCTCCAGAGCTGGCTCCATGGAGCCATCTGAGATTCTTTTAGGGCAGAGATTGAAATCAAGGAGGAGGCTGCTGTCTTGATTTTTTTTTTTTTAATGTTTATTTTTTTCTGAGAGAGAGAGAGAGAGAGAGAGAGAGAAAGCACTAGTGGGGGAAGGGCAAAAAAAGGGGGAACAGAGGATCTGAAGCAGGCTCAGTGCTAACAGCAGCGAGCCCTACGTGGGGCTGGAACTCACGAACCGTGAACTGCGAGATCATGACCTGAGCCGAAGTTGAATGCTCAACCGACTGAACCACCCAGGGACCCCTGTCTGGATTCTTTATATTCCTGCTAATATCATAGCCCTTCATGCTGGATCCTCATCCCCAGAGTGACCCCTGTAATCCATGCATTCTCTCTGAATGCCTCTTCCTATAGGCCTCCTCTTCAGGCCCCGTTGCTTGCTGGAGATCTCGATTGTTCCCGTGGCTCTCTAACCCTTAAGACACTGTTGCCCCCCCACCCAACCTCCACTGACCTTTCAAACACCCACGGGGAGGAAGGCAGACAACCCATCATGCGCAGAGAACTTGAACCACCCACCCCACATCCCCTCCCACCTTCTCTGTGGCTCTTAACTGAACTTTCTACAAAATCACGGCTCTATCCTACAGGGTGGCAGTTATTTTAATGGCCAGGAACCAAGAGGTTACTGTTCTGTTGCAAAAACACCATTAACTTAAGAACAAAGTGAAATCCATTATGCAAATACGGCTAGGACAGCTAATTACAGATTTATTCCAGAGGCAGCTAATGCACCCAGCACCCAAATAAAGGAGCATGTCTTGCTGAGGGGTGGCCTGGCAAAGGGACCCCTCTCTGTCAGCCATCTGTGAATACAGTCTGGTAGTAAAAGAAGTACCAAGGCCGTGGAGGGACCACTTCTTCCCAGCAGACACGGAGGCAACTAAGATGTTGGGAGAGTGATGTTACGAGAGTGTCTGGAACCTTTCAGAGGGAACATGGTTCGGGAGACAGGCTTGGACTTGACTTTGTGCTCTACCTCTTACGGACTGCGTGACATTGGAAAGATTTCTATACCTCTCTGTGCCTCATTTTTTCCTCACAGAGCTTCGTGGGGATGAAACGAGACTCTTAGGAAGTACTTGGCATAGCGCCTAGCACCTTCTGATAAGTGGCAGCTCCTACGACCTCTTCCGGGTCAGCGGTATCCTATCTGCATTGCACAAGGCAGGAAGAAGGGCAGGAGGAGACACGTGGGGCGTAGCAACCGTGGACAAACCGCTGCTGGAGAGAGGGAAAGGAACCGCTGGGTAGGAGAGTCTCATAATCTCACAATCCTTTCCTTGGCAGGAATCTGGAAGGGCTTTGGGACCAGGCCGACCTGCTCTACACGTCAGCTCCGACACATTTAGCTATATGGTTTGCAGCAAGCCGTTTAACTCTACGAGACTCAGTTTTCTCATCTGTAAAGTAGGGGTATCTATTTCATGGGGCTGCTGTGAGGATACGTATGTGAAGGGCTTAGAGTAGTACCTGACAAGTCCCTCGTCATCATTGACACCATCATCACCTATTTAATGCTTGTGATAAGAAACTAAGGCTGTTTTAAAAGGACTCAACACGGGTTAACTCATTTGTTTCTCCCCGCAGCCCTTTGAGAGATTTGTTACTGAGCAGTCAGGGTCCTATTAGTGCAAATCACAGGATTACTATACTCCTAGTTAGTCTAGAATAGGGCTTGGCGAACTTTTCCCGGAAATGGCCACATAGTATTTTAGGCTCTGCAGACCATATGGTCTCTGTTGTAACTATTCAGCTCTGCCAATTACCCAACTCCTGCCATTGTAGTGTGAAAGCAGCCACAGATGATATGTAAATAACTGAGCGTGGCTGGGTGCCAATAAAACTTTATTCACGGACACTGACATTTCATATTCTCTTCATGTCATGAAATGTTCTTTTTTTTTTTTAATCAACCACCAAAAAAAAACAAAAAAAAACAAAAAAAACCACAAAAATCATCTTGGCTTGTGTGACAAACAAAAACAGGTGGTAGACCTGATCTGGTTCCCGGGTCATGGTCTGCTGGCCCCTGGCTCAGCAGATACCACAGACTGGTTACTTTGTCCATCCCCTCTGTCCCAATAAATTCATGTCTAAATCATCCTGGGTGGAAAGACTACTAATGTTTATTTAAAGATAGGGACAGGGGCGCCTGGGCAGCTCAGTCGGTTGAGTGTCCCACTTCGGCTCAGGTCACGATCTCGCTGTCCGTGAGTTCGAGCCCCGCGTCGGGCTCTGTGCTGACAGCTCAGTACCTGGAGCCTACTTTGGATTCTGTGTCTCCCTTGCTCTCTGTCCCTACCCGCCCCCTTTTTCTCTCTCTCTCTCAAAAATAAATAAACATTAAAAAAATTAAAGACAGGTACATATTGGGGCACCTGGGTGGCTCAGTTGGTTGAGCTTCCGACTTCGGCTCAGGTCATGATCTCACGGTTCACGAGTTCGAGCCCCACGTCGGGCTCACTGCTGTCAGGGCAGAGCCTGCTTCAGATCCTGTCTCCCTTGCTGTCTGCCCCTCCCCCACTTGCACGCATGTGCGTGTGCATGCGCTCTCTCTCAAAAATAAATAAAAACATAAAAAAAAAAAAGACAGGGACGTATGATAGCCCCTCTTAAAAGACCACTCTGATGCCTAGAATCCCCAGTTATGAAAAAGAAAGAGTACAATGAATGTGCTTTGGAAAACCTTCCGAGTTCTACAGAGTGCTAGGTATGTTGCTATTATTATTTGAATCATTATCACGTCCTTTCTTGTGGCTAATCTGATTGACTCGGGCAGGCTAATTGCTTTGGTTCTTTTCTTTAGGAACACAGCACAGATACTTCCCGTTCCAATTCTTTTCGCTTTTATTCTTAATTCTGGTTTTCTACAATGACGCATCATCTCTGGGGTTCTTATTCTCCGAGGTTCTTCCCGGAGAACCAGCACAACATCATGATCTAACCGACAGATACAGATGTATTTACTTAAGGCCACCGCACAATGATGAAAAAAGCAAACAAACAAACAACCAAACATCTTCAGGAGTTGCCGGGGAAGGTGGTTGTCCGATTCTTTTCATTCTGTTCTGCCTCTTCCTGTGACAGTGGCATACTAAACACGGGTGGGCTCAGGATATTTGCATATATTCTGGGTACAGACAATGACACAGGTGCCGGATCACAAGGTCCGAGTCTTTTGTGACGGGTACAGCCAGGACGCTGATACCACCAGCAAATCCCAGCTCTGGGGCCCAGCTCTTGCTTGCCCCGCCTTCTCCCTTTGAGTCCTAATATCTAGCTCCTGACCCAGGCTGCCCCCGCTTAGCTGACAATATCAGACAAGATCACAGCCGTAGGCAGTACAGCTGCTGGCAGAACCTGGTGGCCCCCTCCGCAGCTGCTGCTTCCTGTGTCTGTGAAGTGCCTGGCTTGTCAGCCACATCCCCTCCCTGGAGCAGAGTCTTTGTTAACCAATTCCACCTCGGCCCACTGAGCGGATGATGAAACGCCAAGAGCTCCTCCAAAACCAACAAAGACAGCAGCCATTACCGAGTCCCCTACCCAAGGTGACTCTGGGAGCTGGCTTGCCGTGCACTTTAAACCCCCGAGAGGAGAAAACGGGCGCCTGGGATGGGAGGTGGCTGAGCTGCCTGCCCCTCCCGATTCCTGCTGGCTCCATCCGGCGCCCTGGCCTCCTATAGAAATGGATGGAAATCCCCTATCACCAGCTCCTTACATCGTGTCCGAGCCTTTAGTCGGCCAGAGGAGTCAACAAGGCCCTTGGGAGGATTCTTCGATTACCTCTTCCTAGTGCTGGATCCGGCTGGGGTTGGAGGAAGACGCCCGTTCACACCACACGCTCTGCACTCAGCTGACCGCGTACTGGGAGCTGGGAGCTGCAGTCCTTCCAGGGTTCCCTGACAACCCAGCCTCGCTGCAAGGTGCTCTCTTTCTAGGCCAGCCCTGACCAGGCATTTCCTGGACAATTTTTTTTTTTTTCCTTGCGACGGCCTTGTCTCCTCTCATGCCTCCCCTCCCCTAACTTTGTAGCCTAGATCTGAGCAGAAAGAGCACAGGGAGACCCAGAGCACAGGGGTGAGAAATTGATGCAGAACTAGCCGGTCTGTTTATTGGGATCTAGGAAAAGCCATTAAGAAAATAAGCATTTAAATGATTTTCAATCCGCCCATGGAAGTCATCTATCTTCATACTGGGGGGAAAAGGCCCATTCTCTGATCCTGGTTTTGACTGACTGATTTCCAATTCTCTAAGCATTTCCCACAGGAGCCTCTCACCTATCTCCCATAATGACAGGCCTTTGCATTTCCAGGCAGTGTTTTACATTTATTTCCGATTTGCTCATAATGGTCAAAAATCTCTCTCTCCAATCGGAGGCATTTCTCCAGCCGTGCGCGGTTTCCCTCAGGCCAAATAGCTCAGCTGTGATCCACGGAAAATGAGAATTTCCCAAACGCATCTTCGGACCAGGGGAGGGTCCAGCATCACAAATTCAGATGGAAAATTTCCCACTGTTAGATCAATATCTGGGCTAAGAAATAAATGCCACAGGGGCAGAGAGCTGGAGCAAAATGATTACAATTGGCACAATTACACTCACCGGCGGAATCAGCTCACTGATTACTCCTAGGGACGGGAGCGCCCGCTTCATCCACCGCAGGATGGCTTGGGAATTAGAACATCACTCAGCGTTTCATAATTCGACTGATTTGCCCGTTGTCTTGGCATGAGTTTGTTTTCCCCATACAGTACATTCCTGTAAGAGGGCTTCTTACTTCAAGGGAAGAAAGAGGGAAGAAAGGGAGGGAGGGTGGGAGAGAGGAAGGGAGGAAAGAAAGTGACTGAGTCTCCCAGTCTACGGGGAGAGACCGAGAGACGGGGAGAGACTGAGAGACGGAGGTTGCTCTGTTGCAGGCAGGGGTTGGAATACGTTGCTCTGACATTTCTGAGCCAGGGATCTGACATTGTAACCGCGGAGGTGAGGGTTCAGCCAGGTCTTTCCCAGAATTCTCCCCAGCCACAGCCCCAGAGGGTAGAAAGGGCTCAAGAACATATCCTTGCATGACTTCTGAATTATCCTCTCCACTGAGAAGTCTGCCAGGCAAGTTTTCATTCCCTGAGAACCCATCTGAAGTCCTTTTGGGGGCCACGGGGAAAGGACCCGGCTGACGAGTGGGGATTCGACAGCATCTTTCCTCTGCTAAGCTTTGAAGAGGCAGAGGCTCTCACTGCTTTCTCACCAGTGGTGGATGCCGGGTAGGCGGGGGCCGTGGCCAATGGATTGGCCACGCTGCGCGGCTCTGTGTACTGACACCGGCCCTGGGGCCTGCTGTGTCCCTACCCCCTCCCAATCTTCTCTTTAATCCCCCCAACCAGATAATGTGGGATTTGGAAGCATGTAATATCCATGAGACTCCATTATAGGCTATTACGAGCTTTATACACAGTACCTGGGGGATGTACCAGGCTGATGCTGGTCACTGCGGCTGCTGAAAGCAAGAAGGGACTACAGCAACAGTCCCGAGGTCCAAAGTGACCCTTCTATGGTTTAGATCAGTTTCCACCAAAAGGGAGCTCTGGTCTCTTGTGACAGAGAGACAGGAAAGTATTCAGGAGAAACAGATTTCACTCCCCCAGAGAGTAAGAAGCATAAAAGGACGTATAGGGAGAGACAAAACCATAAAGTCACTGAATTAATTGCTGGAACCCTAAGAGACCATCTACTGGTGTTTCTGCAGGAGGGTGCTATTGGCACTGGGGTAGGATCTTCCTGAGCATTGCAGGTTTAGCGTCCCCGGCCCCTGCCCACTAAATGTGAGTGGCAACGCCTAGGCACTGTGATGACTAAATAAATGGCCCACGCCATTCACATGCCCTAGGGTCTGGCGGTACCACCCTGGGGTGGCACCACCGATGGTCCAACAGGCACGTGTTCCAGAGGAACGTGGGGCCTGGAAGAGTGTGTAACAAGAGCAAGGTCCCGGGGATGTCCCAGGACGGGACCCAGAGCCAGGTGTCCCGATTTAGGATCCTTTCCACAAGACAGGCAGCCCCCAAGGAGGAACCAAGCACAGGCCAGCGCAGCAGGGGACAATACATCATATGACAAGAAAAGGGACAAAGGAAAAGAAACAGCAGGGGGTGGCGTGGGGGCAAAGAGACTAGAGATCAGGGGCACGTGGGTGGCTCAGTGGGGTTAAGCATCGGACTCTTGATTTCAGCTCAGGTCATGACCTCACGGTGTGTGAGTTTGACCCCCGAGCTGGGCTCTGCGCTGACAGCACTAAGCCTGCTTGGGATTCTCTCTCCCTGGCTCTCTGCCCCTCCCCCGACTCACACTCTCAATCTCTCTCTCAAAACAAATAAACAAACTTAAAAAGAATACAGATCACAATAGTGAATGGATCAAAGGAGGGAGGAAGGAAGAGGAAGAAACACCTTTCCAGGTGAGGATTTCAGATGTCTGCCCTATGGAAGGACAAGCAAACCAACAGTGAGAGCCCAGGGTAGACTTAGGAATGGGCTGGCAGCCCGCTCAAGAATACTGACCTCGACCCTAACAACAGCATTGAGATGACTTTACCCGATCTTTTTATTGTTAATTTTTTAAATCTTTTTAAGTAAGCTCCACGCCCAGTGTGGGGCTTGAACCTACGTTCCGGACATCAAGAGTTGTGTGCTCTGCTGACTGAGCCAGCCAGGCGCCCCTGACTTTACCAGTTCTTTGAACAGGAGGCTGAGACCTCCTTGATGGGACCCTTGCTGAAGAATGAGAAAGAAGGGCCCAGGACCCTGACTCATACCCTCACCCACGTGCCTTTTTTTTTTTTTTTTCCTTTTCTTTCTTTCTTTCTTTCTTTCTTTCTTTCTTTCTTTCTTTCTCTTTCTTTCTTTCTTTCTTTCTTTCTTTCTTTCTTTCTTTCTCTTTCTTTCTTTCTTTCTTTCTCTTTCTTTCTTTCTTTTCTTTCTCTCTTTTCTTTCTTTCTTTCTTTCTTTCTTTCTTTCTTTCTTTCTTTTCTTTTTACAGGCAGACGGGGCTACTGCTGCTGGGAATGAAGGAGAATTCAGAATTAAAAACGATCCAGGCTACTTTGTCTAGACAGGGCGTGGAGCACCAGTGCCTTTCAGCTGAGGAGCTGAAACAACGTTTCCCCAATGTTCTGTTGGCTAGGGGAGAAGTGGGGGTCTTGGACAAGTCCGGAGGAGTTCTCTATGCAGACAAGGCCCTCAGAGCCCTGCAGGTAGTGTGTGCGGCTTTTGGGGCAACGCAGCCCCTGCGGTGGTTCCAATCTGCCGTCTCCCAATCACCTTGGCCGGATGAGGGCCTTTGCCCTGCTGGCTTCATTCTCGACCTTTTGGGCGGGGCGGTCTTATATACCCTGCTAGGCCCGGTCTTTATGGGACAGGGGGTCTGGAGTCGGAGCCCTCTCTTCCGCCCTAAGTGAAGGACTTTGTTCACCAGGGTGAAACACATAACTATGTAACTAACTTGCCCTTCCCCGCTGCCGCCCTTTTTAGGATGCAATTCGACATCTGGGAGGCCTAGTGTGTGATGGAGAGAAGGTGATGGAGATAAAACCAGGGTTCCCAGTCACGGTGAAAAGTATGGCCAGGAGCTACCAAGCCAAGAGCTTGGTCATCACAGCGGGCCCTTGGACCAACCAGCTCCTCCGTCCCCTGGGAATAGAGCTGCCTCTGCAGGTAAGGGGAGCTGGAAGTCTGAGCATTGGTGCTTAAGAGAAGAAACCTTGGAGTCAGACGGACTCAGGTCTGAGTCCTAGATCTGCTACTTGCTACCAGATGACCTTGGGCAAATTAGGATACCTCATGAGCCTCAGTTTTATAACCTGTCAAATGGGGATATGACTGTTGGAGAATTAAATTATGTAATAAATATGAAACCCTTAGGAAATGGCTTGACCTGTAGTAAGCGTTCAATAAATCTGAGGTATTATTAACTCCGGGAGAGAGAGAGAGAGAGAGAGAGAGAGAGAGAGAGAGAGAGAAGTACGGCTGGGTGTAAATAAATATTAAAAAAACAAGACTGGAAGAAGAGACAGATGCAGAGATCTTTGTACCTCATATCAAAATGTAACATGTCGGGAGCCTGGGTGGCTCAGTTGGTTGAGCGTCCGACTTTGGCTCAGGTCGTGATCTCACGGTTTGTGACTTTGAGCCCCATATCGGGCTCGCTGCTGTCAGCACAGAGCCTGCTTCAAATCTCCGTCCCCCTCTCTCTCTCTCTGCCCCACCCCACTGGTTCTCTCTCTCTCTCTCTCTCTCTCTTTCAAAATCAATACATAAATTAAAAAAAAAAAAAATGGAACATGTCAATGACGTGAGAATTGGGTGAAACAACGATGGACGAGTTAAGAGGGGGCACCCAGCTTGTATTCAAGAGCTACAGGACCCCAGAAGAAACTGTTCTTTTATAGAGTTTCAGGGCTTCCCCCCCCCCTTTTTTAATGCTTATTTATTTTTGAGAGACAAAGAGAGCTTGCGTGGGGGAGGGGCAGAGAAATCAGGAGACACTGAACTTGAAGCAGGCGCCAAGCTGTCAGCAAAAGCCCGACCCGGGGCTCCAACCCATGAATCGTGAGATCATGACCTGAGGTGGAAGTCGGACCTTAACCGACTGAGCCATCCAGGCGCCCCCATGGCTTTCCCCCTTTATCTCCCACTTCCTCTCTCTGCTTCAAGACCCTGCGAATCAATGTGTGTTATTGGCGAGAGAAGGTTCCCGGAAGCTACGGTGTGTCCCAGGCCTTTCCTTGCTTCCTAGGCCTGGGCCTCAGCCCGGCTCCCCACCACATCTACGGGCTGCCCTCCGGAGAATACCCAGGGCTGATGAAGGTGAGCGGAAAGGCCCAGAGAAGGCTGGCAGGGGCCCATGCAGATTTGGTCCAGCTGCTCTAAGGTCCTTTTCAACAGATCCCTCAGAACCCCCCTCCCTTTCGGGGAGCAAAAGGAGCAGGAGAAGAATACTTCACCATTCCTTATTTGCAGCACAAGACCCCCAGCTGTCCTGAGGCGGCAAAGGGAGCCCTTCCTTTGCAAACACAGGGTTGGAGGGGGAAGGAACAGCTAAGGCAACCTCGAGTGGCAACACACACAGCATCGGTCAGGACTGGGGAAGGCTGGGATGATGGATGGGGGCCCTCGGTGAGAGCCTGCCCCCCTGGGCTGGGGGTGTGCAGGAAGGCCGGCCCTCGCAGCTCACACCGCTCTGATTGGGAGCTAGGTCTGCTATCACCACGGCAACAATGTAGATCCTGAGGAGCGGGACTGCCCGGAAGCATTCTCAGACATCCAAGACGTCCAGATCCTGGGCCGCTTTGTCAGAGATCACTTACCTGACCTAGAGCCCAAGCCTGCCCTTTTGGAGCCCTGCTTGTACACGGTAAGGGTGTGGGCGGTGAGGCAGGCCCCTCTCACAGCCCCGGAGAACAGGGGAAGGAGACAGAACTCAGCACTGCTCAGGCTCACATCTAATTGACCCCTGACATGATATGTGACTTGAAACAAATGAGCTTATTTCCGTGGGTCGGTTCACCTCTACCGGAGAAGCCCCGCTAGAGGTTATTCATATTCCTTTTCATTAGCACACGAGGCTGATGTCTGGCTGCCCCTCGCTATGTTTCCCAGAAGAGCTCTAAAAGATTTTTTGGCAAGATGTTCTAGTTGAACAGGCCTTAGGGACGAAGAGAAGAGACAGATGTCACCAGGGCCTGAGGCATCTTGGCTAAAGTTAGTTTACACGCATTAACTGAGCACCTACTGTGTTCATAGCTCTGTCTGAGAAGAGAGGCAGATGGACAAATGAGAAAGGCTGTCGCACCCGGAGGGGGCACTGGCGTGCAGAACACATCCTTGTGCCCCGTTCCCATTTTTTCTGGAAAGCAACCCAGCCTGGTCCCCTCCCTCCCTTGCCTGCGGCTCTTCCTCTTCTTTCTATCCTCAGAGGACACAGGTGTGATCGTTTCTTTCTAGAACACCCCTGATGAGCACTTCATTCTTGATCGACACCCAAAGTATGACAACGTTGTCATCGGTGCTGGATTCTCTGGTGAGCCTGAGCAGGGGAAGACGTGCCTTAAAGCTGACCTATCTCCGTACCAGGCAGAATGTTGTTTTCTTTTTCTTTCTTTCTTTCTTTCTTTCTTTCTTTCTTTTTTTTTTTTTTTTATGTTTATTTATTTATTTTGAGAGAGAGAGAGAGAGAGCTCAAGCGGGGCAGGGGCAGAGAAAATGGTGTTTTCTGCGTTCTTGGCCGGCCAAAGTCTAGACTCGACTGTAAAAAGGTGCTGGGTGGTGCAATCAGAGAAGAAAGGATAGCTCTGGTGGGAGGCAGCTTCCAGTTTTGGGATGCGGACCAAGAAGAGAGGTGGCCTTATTTGGGGACAGGGTAGCGGACATGCAGGGACCCCAGCCACTGTCTCTGAGGAGGCTTGACAACCTCCTCTCCTTTCCCTAGGACATGGATTCAAGCTCTCCCCTGTTGTGGGGAAGATCCTGTATGAATTAAGCATGAAATTAACGCCATCGTATGACTTGACACCTTTTAGAATGAGCCGCTTCCCAGGCCTGGGCAAAGCCCACCTCTGACCCCTGGCCAGCGCCTCCTTTTTGTACACTGGAGCCGGGAATAAAGCCCTCTGGCTGTAACATGCCCTCGTGTTCTCCCGCCTCTCTTGAGTCCCCTGTCAACGCCGCATGATTGAATCGACCTTCTCTCCCTGGCCAGCTCTCCAGTCCTCACTACTTTTTTGCTTCCGGAAGGTCAACCAGATATTCCACAATCACAGAGTAG